TCTCCAAGGGACAGAAGTAACACAAATTCGGGAAGCTTGCCCATAGCCACACATGCCTTTGGCTACGTTGGGTTGTGTTTTCCTCTGAAGTTTACTTTTTGTCGTGTGGTAGTCTTTGGGGTTTGTGTTGGGTCACAGGGTACGACAGCATCTCTAGTTTGCCGTTAGTGGGTCTGAACTGTGAGAATCACTTAAAGAGTGAGACAGGGTTTTTTGGTCTCTAAGAAAGGGATCGGCTATCCACTTAATTATGCTGTATATCATAACTAAAACAAGCGAGTACTCTTATTACAGCTAATATTTGACATCCATTCTATCTATGGATGCAGAGCAGAACTCAGTTCCACCCACCGTGCTGTCCCACGTCCATACATATTTCAGTTTTATAAAAATCAAATAAAAATTGTTTCTTCCAGCCAGCTAAATAGCATGATAAGATTGAGGAACTCATTTCTTGCTAAGTCCATTATTCATGGCAAACGTCAGAGTGTGGGTAATTCCCATCTGCTGAGCAGCTGCAATTCAGGCCACAGAGGGCAAAGTACACCTAAGCTTTTTGCAGTTAACTCTGGATCCACTATTACTCATTAAAACCGAGCAGGGAGCCTTAAAGGAACAGGAGCCCCGGAATCTCGTCTGCATCCTGCCCCTACACCTGTCACCCCCATGTTAAGTCTCTCCCTGGCTAGCACTCTTCCAGACACTGTAATTCCATCAGTGTCTACCAGGATGCTCTCTCTGCACTGCCAATGCCCAGTGCCAGCTCCTGTCCTGGGGAAGCTTATGGTTCTATGTGTTCATTTAGTTAGAAGTCCAGTTTATATGGAAGTTTACCATTCCTTAGTTTTGTAAAAACACTATCCATATTATACACGGTGTGATGATACTCCAAAAAAATCCTTGTTATATATCATGATGCAATATTTCATGTCCCAAAAACCAAGCTCTTAGCAAAACAATTTCTTATGTATCACACATAAGGTGTACAGGCTGTTTGAACCTTGTGTTTGCTTTTTGGGGATCCCTGTGGCTTTTAGACATCACAGATTTGTAAACTGAGATGATTGGATATGGAATCCGTTTCTCATCATCTGTTTTATAGCTTTGTTAGCACTACTGAACAGTCTGTGCTCAGCAGTCTGGTCTAGACTGGCTGGGGAACTCTTTGGAGGCTAAGAGGGAAAGGTGCACAGATGCTTTTTTCCTTTTTCGGCTGCGGTGGAGGGAAGTCCATATGTAACATTTAAGTGGACCCTAAAAAATCTGTTACAATTACTTACCATTTACGGGTCACAGTGTATCTTAAATCAGTGTCCCCGCTCCTGACTAGGGACTGCCTAGATAACGCTTTAGTGATTATCTTTGGATCTCCTAAACCATACACTCCCTGTACCTATTTTAGGTCCCTCATAGACTTTAGATCCTCCTATAGATGTGGGTCATTTGATCACCTTTCCGTGGAACATCGCTTTGTTGCTGCATCTCTACCCTAACACTGTTGCAATGGTCCCACTTATCTTGCTGCCTCCATCTTGTCTTATCCTGAAATGTGTCTTCCATAAGCCCCCTAGTGGCTCTTAGCATCATCATGTCTTCTCTTGCCTAGAACCTTCGGTAGCTGCCCATTGCCTGCAGAGTGAATTCTAAGCTTCTTAAAATGGTTCTGGATGGTCCTGCCTGCTTCTTCAGCTCGTTGCTCACCACTCCCTATTTTACTCGTTATTTTCTTAGATCCTAACTCTTTAACCTTTCTCCACAAAAACTCTAGAAATAGCTATACATCCTCGTTAATGTTTTCTTTGCCTGGTAAGCTCTTCACACTCTTCTTGTTTAATTCTTACACTCCAAGGTTCACCATAGGTAGCATCAATTCCTTGAAGCTCTCACCTACCCTCAGAGCACGACTGAGGCCTCTTGATTGTGCTCACACAGCAACTGTATGAATGAGTGAATGAATGAATGGCCTTTTAGTACAGGCCTTTGTTAGAGGACTTAATTTGAACGTCAGCTGCTGCAGATACAGTTTGACTTTAACTCTTCAGCTCGTTGTGTCCCTAATGGCAACAAGTCAAATTAAAATGTTACAGGCTGCACTTTATTCGCAATGTTGTATCAGACCCTTTGTTTCAGCAGGCACATAAACTAATCATCTTCAAAAGTTCCTCTGGTAAGGTGCACACAAGTAACATGTGATGGTGTTTTAATGTTTGGAATGCATTCACCCTCACTATAGTTGTTCACGTAACTTCTGAATTTTCTTTTCTAATTTCTCACTTTATATTGTACCATTAACTTGCCTAATTTTATCTCGACAGTTTATTTTACTGAGCTCTACTCTTCTTCAACACTCCAAAATCCTCCAAAATGCCATTAATACTCAGTCAGAATATCCTGCCTATAGTGAGAAAAATATGAAGACTTTTGTAGTATTTAGTTACCCTGAGTCACACACGGTTTATGGGTTGGCCTACTATAAAGGGCCAGATAATAAATATTTTAGGCTTTGTGGGCCATATGGTTTTTTTGTCACAACTACTCAACTCTGTAGTAATAAAAGAGAAGCAGACAATAAGCAAACAAATTAGTGTGGCCATATTCCGATAAAACTTTATTTACAGAAACAGATGGTCCAGGGCCACAGTTGGCTGACTCCCTGGGTCAATAGGAGACTTATTTCCATGGAGGAAGATTTAGTCAAATTCTGCTCAGGTACAGAAACACTTTCCAAGTAGTTTGTTCCCAGAGAATAATCTTTCTAATTATACATGGTCCTGAGGTAAATATTTTGAAGGATACTTATATCATACCTTATCATGCAGTTTTATCAGAAACAGAGCTGAGGGAATAAGATTATGTAAAAATTCATTTGCTGGAGTAACAACTCTCACAGCTCAGCATATCAAGAGTTGCATCCCAAGTGAACTGGAAATTTCTATATGCTTCCCTGGCACTCAATAATGAGAGCTATATAAGTGTTCATGCTCCCTACCAGTACTACAATTTTTAAGAACTATCCCACAGCAATGACTCCAAGGGAACAAAATCAGTGTGCCCAATGATATTTAGAATAGAAATGTTCATTAACACTAAAATTCTAAAGTAACCCATTTGGGAAATGGAATGATAACAGAGGAATCTTGTAGAATTTGATTATGTGGTGATTGCATAGAGCGTATCTATCCTTGGAAATGTGCACATTAAAAATTACAAGTGAGGGGCCGGCCCTGTGGCCGAGTGGTTAAGTTCGTGCGCTCTGCTGCAGGCCACCCAGTGTTTCATCGGTTCGAATCCTGGGCGCGGACATGGCACTGCTCATTGAGCCACGCTGAGGCGGCGTCCCGCGTGCCACAACTGGAAGGACCCACAACTAAGAATGTACAATTATGTACCAGGGGGCTTTGGGGAGAAAAAGGAAAAAATAAAATCTTTAAAAAAAAATTACAAGTGAAAAAAGTCAAACAGAAAAACTATGTTTACATGATCTCAAATGTGTAAAAATCAATGTACATGAATTCTGTTATTCAATATTCAGTATTTGTTTAAAAAGAGCCTAGTCTGAACAAGTCTCTGCTCCAAGCACTGAGAAGAGACCAATGAATAATAGATCCAAATTCCTGCCCTCATGGAGCCAATATTCTTATGGGGGGGGGGAAACAGATATTGTGGGTCAAAGGGATTTTAGTGATTGATATATTTGGAAACCTAATGTCATGAGATTATTTTCCCCCATAAAAATAAAACTGCCTATATAAAAAAGCTTTTCCACTTTTTTGGTATGTTTCATTTTTTTTAGGAATAATCATTTCTCTGATCAATTCATTCAACTGCTATTGAGTTCTTACTGTATTCCAGGCCCTCTTCCAGGCACACAGAATATAGTGTGAACAAAACATACAAACAATGTTCTCCTGGAGCTACCATCTAGGGGGGAGACAGAAAATAAGATAAATAAGTAAAATATGCACAAGGTCAGATGGTTGCTAAGGGACAGAGGTAAGGAGGAAAGCAGGATGTGAATATCAGGAGAAGGGAAACTTTTAGATTGATTGATCAAGAAGGACTCCTTGAGAAGATCACTTTTGAGTAAACTGGTAAAGAAAATGACTGTGCTAACAGTGTGGTGGTGTGAGAGGAAGATCATTCTGGGCAGAGGGATCAGCAAGTACAAACAAAGGCCCTGAGGTGAGCTGTGCCTGGAGTGTTTAGGGAACATCAAGGGGGCCAGTGGCTAGAGTGTAGTGAGTGAAGGAGAAAGTAGTAAGAAATGAGACTGATGACATAACAGTAGACCAGACCACAGCTGGCCTTTGAAGTCGTTGGAAAGATATTGGAGAATTTTGAGCAAAGATGACAGACGATCAGGACTGCATTAAAATAATTCCTGCTGTTGGGGGTAGTCAACAGATACAGGCAGGATTTAGGAGACGGTTGCAATAATCCAGGTGAGAGACAATGGCTCAGACCAGCAGGGTAGGTAGGATAAATGTCTTGAGCTGTGGTGGCAAAGAGGGAAGGACAGAGGTGTGGCAGGAACCAGCATTCCTACTGCCAGAGCCCACCTGCCATAAGGGGTGAGACACGCAGGAGCAGCGACAGTTCCTGACCTGTTGCCGTATCCCCAGTGGGAAGGAAGCACAATGTCAGGGGCATACTATGTGCTTAATTTAGGTTGGTGAAATGTTGCAAAACAAAACAGGAATATGAAACCAAATCTCTACTTCATGCCTGGTTGCTGTTACAGAACTCACTGCTTTTGCCCTCAGTCGCTTTCCCTTCTTTGATTATTTATTTATGAATTAACACCTTCAACATCGGTTGATGTCCTAAGAAAGCTTCAGATTTCAATGACCTGCATTTAATTAAAATGACAGAGCAGTAAAGATTCCATTGAACCACTTCTTTCTATCTCATACCTTTATGAACTGAAAGCACTGTTATTGCCTTTTACCATTAAAGAGCCTAAGACTGATTGTAACTGAATATTAACACTTTTTTTTTAGGGAACAGCTTAATTCTTTATTGGAGACCTATAACATTTTTTATGAGAACCAGAAAAATCTGCATATTTTGTATGGACAGGTAAGCCCATTTAAGTAATGCAATATAGTTTGATTCACAGAGAAAAATTCCATAAAGGTACAGAGGAGTCAGGATGAGTTGGAGTCCATAATCCTGCAGCACAAGTGGTCTGGGAGAAAAAGGTGAATCTTTAATTCGATCATGATTCTTATTGTTAGACTATAGCACAAAACCCCAGTCCTGAAACATCTGTGAATTTCTAAACATTTTGGCGGATAGGAAAATATTTCAAAATAATTTTAATGACATATTTGCTTTGTATTTTAAAAATAGTATATGAATATCTTTTGAGCAGCAATTCCACTAGAAAGCTATGCTAATGCTTTCTTACAAGTGCAACAGGGTGTAGCTAGAAGGAGGTTCATGATGACACCATTTGTAAAGGAAAAAACCTGAAGATATCTTAAGTCTCTACCAACAGAGGATTGTTCAAATGACTTATCTGTAACATAGTTTGGTTTGGTTAAAATGAATGAGTTCGATTCCAATGAATGTGTACTATGTTATAATAATAACAAATTTTAAAATGTTAAACAATTTAGGAAAGCCCTGAAGCTAGAAAGCATTTTTAGGAGTGCAACTGGCAGCCTACTGTACAAACTGGCCTTAGATTTTCTTTGTTCCTTTTTTTTTAAATTTAATTTGAGTGCCTCATTCTCCACAGGTTTCTGCACTTAGTCTTGTATTCTAATGGAGCCCACTCCATGTCTTCACAATATCTTCTGTATACCAGGGAGCATTAGAATTTTCTATCCCTGATTTAAACCTTCAAATTTGATGGTAAAGCATTGACTTTAGGCCACCATAATTTGGCTTAAATCTGCAGCTGGGATGAAAGGAAATTTACAAAGCATTCTGACCTTTACTATTGACTTTAAACAATTTTGTTTGATTATTTCAATTACCTTCTCAAATGTAATAATATACAGAAGAAGGAAATGACTAATCTCTATAAAGAGATTTATAAAAACAAATGGGCCAAGCTTTAAATTATTTCAATATTGTCCTATATCTTGGCTCTTTAATATATGTTGCAAAAATCTAAAATTTAGGAAAAGGTCAAAACTTTAAGAAATGTTCATAAAATGATTTACATTTTAATTCAACATTTTCCATAAAATTCATGATGTTAAGAAGTTTGTGTCCTTTAGGAAAATGGTTGAATTTTGATGTTATAAACATATACGTTGAAGCATCTCCTTTCCAATAATGTGAATCAGTGCTTAATTTACAATATAACATCATTTAACTTTTTAAATAAAGTTTCTTGTCTTATATAATTTTTAAAAATTAGATGAAGTACAGTACAGTTATGCGTCACTTAACAATGGGGACACATTCTGAGAAATGCATCGTTAGGAGATTTTGTTATTATGTGAACATCATAGAGTGCACTTACACAAACCTAGATGGTATAGCCTACTACACACCTAGGCTGCATAGTGCTAATCTTATGGGACCGTCCTCATATATGTGATCCATTGTTGACTGAAACATCGTTATCTGGTGCGTGGCTGTATACAGTGAGACTGTCAGATTGCTTAATCTTTCCATCTTTACTCACTGGTCAATAAAGTTAGAATCCAGAATTTTCCAAATCTTCTGACTTAGTTACAATGATGGACACTGTTAAAAGGGGCACTCCATGGAGGATAACATGTAGCGTTCTTCATCTCTGATTAATTAAACAAAATATTTATTGCCTACCATGCGTCAGATGCTGTTCTAAAAGCTGGAGAAATAGCAATAAAGAAACTAGACCGAATGGCCTGCCTTCATGATGCTTGCGTTCTAGTAGACAAGAAACAAAGAAGGAAAAAATATGTCAGGTGGTGATAAAGGCTGTGGAGAATAGTGAAGCAGGAAAGAGGGCTCAGGAATCTAAGTGGGGTGGGGGAAGAGAAGCATTTAATCAAAGACTCTGAAAGATGTGAGGGAGCAAACCAAGAAGAAGGTCTGTGGGACATGCATGGGCAGAGACAGCAGCCTGAATAAAGGTCCTGAGGCTGGCCAGTGTAATGAAGATGCAGCAGAGAAACCAATGTGTTAGGAACCTTGTAAGAGTGGTAAATTAGTAAACAAAGAAACCAGAGAGGGAACTGAGAAGGGGAGACACCAGAGTGTGTAGGATCTTGTAGATCGTTGTGAAGACTTTCACGTGTACTTGAAGTGAGATGGGAAGCCACTGGGGAGTTTTGAGTAGAACAGTGACATTAAAAGGATTCATTTTAAAAGAATCTCTCTAGCTACTGGGAATATATGGAGGGGCAAGAGAAGAATGAGGTAGACCAGAAGGAAAACTATTACAATAGTCCAGGCAAACAGTGACGATGGTGTGGACCAGAATCAAGGTAGTGGACATGGTGAGTATGGCCATATTAGGGATATATTTTTGAGGGAAAGCTAATAGGACTTGCTAATGCATTGAATGTTGAGTATGGATTAAAGGTGACTCTAAAATTCCTGACCTGAGCAACTGGAAGGATGAAGGTGCTATTTACCAAGATGGGGAAGACTTGGAGAGGAAACTATTTATGGGAGAGAGATAAAGGGTTCATTAGGAACATATTAAGTTTGATGTCAAATAGGCAGCCTGGCAACTAGAGATCAGGGAGGAGGTTTGGGCTGGAGAAATGAAATTGGGAGCTGTTAGTTTAGAGATGGCATATAAGGATCCTTGAGATCCCCAAGGATATTGGTGTAGATCTGGAAGAGAAGAGGCCTGCAAGGATTGAGACAATGAGAATAGATAAGTGTAAATAAGGCTTCAGGGATAATTTGTTTAGTTAATCTCCAAAGAGATGTTTCCTGAAATTAGAAAATAATCTGATATTCCTTATGTGAGAAAACAGCATTCTCTGATAATAGTTGCAGTATTTCTTCTTGAAAGCAAGAATTAGATAACCTCAGAAGAGCAGTTATTCTATGAGTTTTTGATGCAAGAGATTAATTTAAATATAATTAGGCAAAGAAAGGATGCCATACTTCAATAACTAAACCGTTGCACCTGCATCATGTACTGCCATTTCAAAGAATAAATAATTATGTTTGGTTGTTGAAAAGAACTGGTTGGTAAACTGACCTCTCAGTAATCTGAAATATGCACTCGAAAGTGGGAGAAAGAGCAAAACTTTGTTTCAGAAGTGACTCCAAAGTAGGTTTATCAGCCGAAGGCATAATATGCAATAATATTTATTGAGCACTTATTAAGTACCAGGTCCTATGAATTAGGGACCATTATCATGTCCGTTTTTCAGAAGAAGTAGCCCAGGATAAAGGCATTTGGCAACTTCTCCAAGGATGCACAGCTAGGAAGGGGTGGTGCCAGGCTCCAAATGCAGCTCTGTCTGATTCCAGACTCTGGAGTTTTCGTTACACTCTCAAATAAGAAGTGAATCATTTATGTTTTCTAATAATTGATTTTGTATAGTAACAATAGTTATTGGATATTGCAGTATTTATTGGGTAGTTAGAATATGACTCTTAGTTTCTATATTTTACAAATTTTCTATAATGATAAGACATTCTTTTAATAACAGAAAAAGACTTTTACATATAAAAGAGAAAAATAGATTATAAAATAAATTCTATGGGAATGTGCTGTGTTTATAATATTTACATCCACAGAGTAAGTATTCAATCCATATTTTCTAATATTTTTGTTTGTATGGCCTTTTCTTCTTTTGCTATAATATTTCTAACTTAGAAATTCTTCAAATGTTATTGGTTTTTCAAAACTATCATTCCTATGTTTTTCATTTTCCACTGTGTTTCATATACATTATTTTACTTGTCCTACATAATAACTTGGAGTTAAATTTTTCCAGTTCAAAAATGAAGAAACAGCCACAAAATCTGTCAGTAGCTGTTCCTCTGATTTCTAGTTTAGTACAGTTTTTAATTCTGCTTTAATTTTAATTTAAACAGAATTAGAGTATTAAACATCCACTTAATTGAAGAATCATAGAGTTGAGAAAGCATCTGAACATACTATGCCCTCTGGTGGACATGGCATTACCATTATGACTTATTCACTTTGCTGGTTATGGCTGTTTTCAAAAATAAATGAAAGTTTCAAAAACAGAATTATTTTGTAGGTAAATTGAAAAGCCAAACAATCTCACCTGAGAATTTATGTTTTCATCTATTAAGATGTCTCACAGACTTAATTTGTACATGTTCAGTTAAAACATTTACCTTCTACAAATAATACGAAAACAGTGTTTGAGATGATCAATTTCTTCCCTAGACTGAAGATGGTAAACTAATTGTTGAAGGAATGCTGGACATTTTCTGGGGAGTGAAACGGCCTATACAGCTGAAAATACAAGATGAGAAGCAAATCCCTTCTTTTACTGCGTCGAAGTCACCAGATGTCTTTTCCAAAAGGTAAGCTATCTTTGATGTTTTTAATTCCTTAGAAGATGATCTTCGTATTTACCTCTATTGTACGCACTCTTAAAGATGGAGCTCTGATGCTTACCCACAATCTTGTTTAATCCCCCAGCAACTCTACAAAGTGGGTATTCAGAAACCAGGGCTCTGAGAGGTTAGGTAATTCGTGCAAGATCCCCGATTGCCACTTAGCAGAACTGGACTGGACCTCGGTCTACAGGCTGCGGAGCCCATGCTCTTGACCTCTCTGCTGTATTAGTCCTCTCCTGGAAGACTGCGTTCCTTCTTTGGAAAAGACAGAATGTAAAGGGAAGATTTCATTAGCTCTGGCCTGGTCAGCAAAAGAAGGAGATACGATTTAAATTTCTCTTCTCCTTGGAACAAAGGGCTCTTCCTGCTTTCTGGAGACTTAAGTATGCTCCACAGGATTGTCCTGATCCTGTTCAAGAGGCACAGCCAAGTGCATTTGAAGCTTAATAAATGCACAAAACAGTTCTCTGTGTGGGTTTATGCAGCCTTACCTTGAACGTAAATCTAAGTTGGGCTGATTTTTTAATTATTCTTTACAATTAGCTCTAGAAAAGCTAATAAAATATTCCCAGAAGGAATCATATGTATGATTTTTTTTTTCTGTTTTTCTCCCTCTTTCTACCTTTCTCCCTTCCTTTTTAATCCTTGAGTTTCCAACTCATCTCCCCTTTGTGTAAACATGAAAGTACCAGGCCTTCCCCTCATCAATCCTCCAGTCCATAACCGGATGGGCTGGAGTTCTGGCAGAGGAGAGGATGGAGAGAGAGCTGCCAGGACCATTTCCCCAGCCTGATCTTTGTCACTAACCAACAAAAACCAGCTATCACCTGGAGGGAAGCCGTGCTTTTCCTTTGGAGAAAACACTGACGCCTCGCTATGATCGGCATCTGGCCAATCTTTCTCAACATGATGCTCCAGCAATTCTGAACACTGTGAAATTCCCTACGTCTACTGTGCAGTGTCTTACTTTCCTGACTCTGCCTGGAAGTCTGCCTGCTTCTAGACATCCATCTGCCTGACTGTCTTTTACCAATCCTTTAAGATTCAGGTCAGGTAACACATTCTCCAGAAAGCCTTTTCTGACCCCTCAGTCTGTACTAGGTGCACTGACAACTTTTCTATATCATTTTTAGAGCACGCTGTTAATTGCATTTTTATGCACCTAGCTCCCCCTCTAGCCTGTGAGCTCCTCGAGAGTAAGGGGCATGCCTTATTTATCTTTGTTATCCCAGTGCTCAGCAGTGTTCTTGACACAAAAAGGGACTCAAAATATAGCATTGAGAAGCCCCCAGAAGCCTAGTGGTTAAATTACCTCTGCTTTGTTGTGAGATCTCCGTCTCTCTATTTACCACTTCTGACTAGTCTCCAGTCCAAGCTAAGGATTGCCAATGGGCAAAGGGTCTAGGACTTATGGAAGAGCAGAAAGGAGACCACAGACTTAGGCAGCCTGATGAAGCCCTGCATCCCTCACATTCAGGTACCAGATGACTAATGGGGCTGATGATTCTAAATGACTAGGAGCATCATTTAAAAGGAAAAATTACCCATGGGCTCTACTTTTAGAAAGCTGTACAAGATATGAATATAGCAAAATTAGCTATCATTCTTCATATTACCTAAGAACTCATCGCAAAGTTCTCTGAGCAGCCAGCTCCTTTTGATGCATTTTAATCATTTGATTCATGAAAACCTGATAAGTATGGAACATTAAGGGAAGTTGTCAGGGAAGTACACTAAGGTACTTGTGTTATCACATTAGGCCATCATTATTTTGAATTACTATCCCAAGGTATTTTTTTAATTTCTCAAATTAAAATTCAAAACACTGTTCCTAGGAATCCTGAATTTGGGCATGAATTTCAAAAGCGTGGGTGGATAAGGTCATATTGATGCCTCTCAGGATACTGCAGTAGATTATAAATTAATATTCTCATGTCACACCTTCCATATAATCCATGTGCATTTTCCATTGTTTGTCACAACATTGCTGTGAATCAAACAGGAATTGTCTCCTTTAAAGTTGAGAAAGAATTCCCTAGAAAACTTTGCTCGCCCTTTACCATAGTAATGAGACTTACTGGGAGAATGTCTAAGTGCACACTGGCAGTGTATCAGATCTTTCTGGTGAGTTAGAATTTTCAGAAAAACATCCCACTCCTCTCACACACAAGAGCAAGATTGGATTCAGTCATGATTAATTAGTCAAGAATCCTCCTTGGGAACCAGCTGAGGACTCAGCAGGAAAGTGCAGCACGATTTGGAGTGGCTGTTCCTTGGCCTCTGGTTTCCTGGTGGGGTGCATAGCCACCTAAGGTACTATTCTTTGTTTCAGCCCAATCCTAGACACCCTCACTCTGGCTGCCACCCTTAAGGTGGCATTCATTTAAATTCTGAGCCTCAAGTGAAATTGCGTAAAGAAATCGACCATTCTCTCACTCTATAAAACTTCTCTCTTTCCCATGCTCTCTTTCCCATACCAGGTGTCTGTGAGCAGAACTTACACTTCTGCTCTCACAGGGTAACAGATTTGCTATCTCCAGTGGGTAGACGTGGAGTGAAGGAAGTGGAAGGTGTGTACTCAGCTGTAGGAAGAGCTGCAATCTTGCGTCTTTCAGTTTACCCTTTGAGAGAATCATCAGGTGGTCCTGCTAGTTTCTTTTAATTATCTTTGAAATGAGTCATACTGAGTCAGCTTAATGGGAGTGGTAGAAGCTTTAAAATAAGTCAGTTTGTTTGTGCTGTGACCATTTGTTATCCTTTATGGAAATGATTCTATGGACAGTACTTTGATCTCTCGTATTTGGTCCAAGTATTTTCTTTAACAAATTTTTCATGAAAAAAAAGTTTTATTGAGGTTATGTTTGCTTGCATCGGTTTTTATTTCTGTTTTTAATATCTTTCCAAAGTCAGCTTTGACTCATTTCGGACAAGTCGTGGCAGATTGACGTAAAGAGAAGAAACTGGTCAGGTGTACATTTGAATAACATCAATAATGCTTTCTCTTTCTTACAATTTGGTTAGAGAAGTGACTGCATTCTATTTGTCTATCAAATGTCTACCTCCTGTTTATTTTGCAACTCATTAGTAAACCTCCCCACAGTTTAAATTTGCTAATGCCACACATCCTGGAGCTTGGTCAGAGCAATGCAAACAGTCCTGTGCTCAGGCAAGTTAAACAATTTGATATTACGTAAAGTTCCAACCAGATATTTTTTTTATTCTCTGGGTAACTGGCCTCAAGCTTGCCAGTTGTATGTGGTGACACTTCAAATTACACAATCACAATTACACAAATTACACAATTACAGTTTAAAGCTGAAAATTGGTATTTTCCACTGAGATGATAGGGAGGAAAAGGGGCCAAACACTGCATAGGTTGAGCTATGATTGTCCCCCTGTGTTTGTATGATTCTACTAAGCTGTAAGAAAGTGAGGGCAGGTGTCACGTCTGCCAGGGTTTCCAAGAATTTATAGTACATCACTGGTCTGGCATTCTTGAACATTCTCACCTCCCCCATATGAAATCGTGTCACATTGGTTTGCCTTTTTAGTTTCTGCTTTTCTTTGGTATTCTGTCTTTTCCATTGCTAACCTTCTTTCTGTGATAATTACATCTTCCTCCTTTTGTTTATTAATTTTCTATAGATTGGAGAAATGGATGATTTTTTCTCCCATAAAAATAACTCACTTGTGAGTCAGGACATGAATAGTTCTCCTTTGATTTAAAGTCATTTCCTGTAATTCTTGGACGTTACAACATTTGCCTGACTATATTCTGGATAATAGCGCTGACTGGAAAATTAATTAACAAATATATTAGGATTACTTATCTATCCCATAATGCTATTGTGAGGCTCAAACGATATGAAAGTTGTAAAAAGTCTTCAAGAGAATTCGAAGATCAAGGGAAAAAAGATCATGTTTATTCATATTCATCACCACTCGTATTAATAAGCATTTTTGTGTTGCCACCAGTGACATTTGGGTAGAGTTAATGCCACAAATTCCCTATAGGTGAATACTTTTTGGTCATAAGGAAAACAGACATTATGGAAGAGCCCTTTAGTAGGACTAAGACTGGTCTTATCCATAGTAATATCCATTAGCTTAGAGAAATCCAGGAATATCTTGGATCCTTAATGGTTCCCGGCCCATCATGAAATGGATACAGATGATGGTGGTTTTGATGAGGATGACAATGAAGGTGAGGAAGACCACAACAATTTTTAACATGTATTGAGTGCTTACTGTATGTTGGGCACTGTTTCAAGAATTTTATACAACTTAATTCCGTCTTCTCAACAACTCTATCCTACCTCATATAATTATCATCCCCATTTTATAGATAAGGACACTAAGGCACAGAGAACATAGGTAACTTGTTTAAGGTCAGATACATAAAATAAAGATTAGTATCAGCCCAGCTGGTAAAAATAAGCAGTTGCCCAGTTTTATTAGTTTTGGGCATTAGGATGGATTGAAGATTGTTAGTATCCTACATAAATCATAATTTTCTAGCATAAAACCTTCTCATACACTTTCTTCCTGTGTAAATTTTATTCTTTCTAATAGGCAAAGGCCTTAAAGATAGGCACCATATCTTATTATTTTAGAGCTACTCCACCTAACAAAGCTTTGAATACAATAGGAACTCAATGCATGTCGGCAGAATGAACACTTTTGTATCTAAATTCTCCTATAAGCATTGAGAGAGATCTGTATATAAAAGGATTATGTTGGTTTCTACTAATTCTACTTGCACGTGCATTTTACAGCATCTATATAGCCTTGCATTTCAATGTGTAACTGAATTACTATGTCAAGATATGCTCAAAATGGCTACAGGACGTATTTAAAACACATGCTGACCACTGGTATAAATATAATTTTAACACTATCATAAAATTGTTATAACTTAGGATGATATGTCTACCTACAGAGACCCACAGTATTATATTAACACTATAAATCTGAAAACCATCATAGGCTTCATTATGAACAGAACTGATGTCACTTACAAGATTTATTACTTTTCAGGGGAATGACACGCTGGGGGGAATTTGATGATCTTTATCATATTAGTGAGCTGGACAGGACCCAGATTCCAGTGCCTGAAGCAACGAATTCCCAGGAAGGTCAGTATCAAACTCTTATTAATGAGGAGACTTTCTTTAAAATTAACATAAAGCTTGAATCCTAAATGTTTCTCTGAAATTTAACATTTTACACACCACTACTTAGTAAGCTCTTATTATATATTAGAAAAACAAATTATTGATTTATTATTAAAAAAATTTAGTATGCTTAGGAGCATACTAAAATTAAGTCAATACAGTGCTCATATGATGTTTAAGAACCTTACTTTGCTACATAAAAATATGATGATTTTTAAAAATTATGTCATCACTTAGATAAGGGAGAGCTAACGGTTTGAATAAAGGTTGAATACATAAAATTTTTCAATATTTTTCCCAAGGACTAGGATCATTATTATACTCAGTAGCTTTTTATGTTAGACCGAGCCCCTCAGATTAAATTCTATCTCTTTTTAGAAGTTGAACATTTTAATTAATAATGGATTGTATATTATAACCTTACTTCTTAGAAAGACGCAGATATGCTGGAGTCACTATTTGTATTTAATGGAGTTGTTTCAAGCTTTATTTTTTTTTAAAAGATTTTATTTTTTCCTCTTTCTCCCCAAGTCCCCGGGTACATAGTTGTATATATTCCTCATTGTGGGTCCCTCTAGCTGTGGCATGTGGGACGCTGCCTCAGCGTGGCCCGATGAGCAGTGCCATGTCCACGCCCAGGATTCGAACCAACGAAACACTGGGTCACCTGCAGCGGAGCGCACGAACTTAACCACTCGGCCACGGGGCCAGCCCTTCAAGCTTTATTTTAAAAAGAAATCTACTTGAACATCAAAAGAGTTCATATCAAACTTGGCAAACCAATGGAAAATGCTAGCTCCTATGACATGTGACATTGGTGATCATAATAATGATGACGTGATAGTAATAATGCTATCAGTAGCTGTCATTTACTGAAACTCTGCTAAGTGTCAGGCATGATATCTTGTATTATACATGGGTTTGGATTTTCATATCATACATGGAGATCCAAGGAGGAGCTGATGAGGGAGGCTCGGGGTGGGGTTCATGTTCCTGGGCTGGTGATCGGACTGACCAAGGATATCCTGTTGGCATTACCTTCCTGAGTCTACCAACCACTTCCAATGTTTAGTTATTCTTTTCCAAACCATTCTTAATTCAGCCTCCTCTGCTGTCTCTGGAAGAACCCAGATAATTTAACAAACATGATGTTCCTCCCAGGATTCCTTTGTCTTTGTCTTATGGCCCTTGGCATCTTTTATATAAGAGCCCTTCCAGTTAGCCTTTTGAAAACATTCATCTAAGCCCAGGGAAATCCCAATAACTTAACACCAAAGATATCATAAAAATCTATTTCTGTTTAAGCACTAGTGCTAGAGAAAGATGAAATATCTCATGCTTATTTGATGGTACTCTAATGACAGTAGAAAATTATTTAAAATCCCAAGGTAAAATGGAATATAAATGCCACCAGATGGCCCTATTCTTACACAAGAACATTACTACTTCCTCGCTGTTCAAAAGCATTTTGTCCATTGCTTAGCTACATATTTACTTATCACATACATATACAGATTCACCCAGGAGGCGAAGAGGTGGGCAGCTAAATGATATGGGCTTATAATCTTTATTCTTCCCAGATTATTTATCTTATCACAGCAGCACTCTGAAGCCTCGTGCAGGTAAAGAGCCAGAATCCCCACTGCTCTATAGAACCATGAGTGAAGCAAACCTGGTGAGAAAAAGGATGAAGCCTCCAATGATGGACAGAAAAGACAGACAAAACCATAGGGCCTCTATTAATGGGCACTTTTATAACCATGAAGTGAGTACAATTCCATTAATGTCACTTAAAATATTATTGTCTGTTGTGCTAACAATACCACTCAAGTCAACTGAGAATTAAAAATAGTGATAATAATATTAGTAGTAGTATATCTTATGTTTATTGGGCACTCTCTATGTGTTAAGTATCAAAATTTTTAATTGATTTTTGATGAATTATCTTGTTAGTCACTGAAACAATCCTATGAAGTAGGTATCATTGTTTTCCCTACTTTACATATGAGTTAATTGAGGTTCACAGGGGTTCAGTAATTTGTCTTAGGTCGCACTGATTTTAAGTAGCAACTTTGAACTTGAACCAGCTTTGCCTGACTCCAGAACCCAAGTTCTTAACCAACATGATGCGTGAGCCCTATCTAAGTACCAGGCCCTGTGCCCAGCACTGGAAATATAAAGATGACGCAGCTGATGCCTCTGCCAGCATGGAGCTCAGCGCTTGGGCAAAGAAAGCAATACATTGACAAGTGGCATTAGAATAATGTAAGTGCTACAGCAGAGATTGGTTCAAAGTACATTTGAATAGTAACATTTAAATAAAAGGAGAAACCAAGCACAGGACTATTTATTCCAAGAAATCAAATTTCTCATTTTGCCGTGTTCCCTTCCAGGCCTTGTACATATACACATATCATTTTTTATGCAAGTGTAGTTGTAGTTTAGGTATAATTTGTATTCTGATTTTCCCTTAATGTGTTAAATTTACATATGCCTTACTATAGTATTTGTAAGACATTTCACTTTGCTGAAGGTAGGAAATATATCACTTTTTTCTAGAACTCAAATATTTTTCATGTCATGTACTTTGGCAATCTTTCATCCATTCATTTGGTAAACACTTAAAAAGCACTTACTCTGTGCCAGGCTCCATTCTGGGTCCTTTAATACAAAATATTAACTCATTCCTCTTAAGCTTTTTCCTTCTAGGGCTTCCTACCTGTTCCTCCTTCTTCTGCTCTTGGGATGGTATCTGTCGTGTGCCCTTCGAGACTGGTAGGGAGAAACTTCCCTTCTGACTTCTTTGTTTGAATTAGACATTTTTGTGGCTCAAGAACTTCCTCATGGCTGTAAAGTAACGTTGTCAATCCCCCAACGATGCACGACTACCCATTGTCCTCGTTTCTTCTGCTGCTCAGAATCATGCTGTGTGTCATCATCTTGCGGGGTGATTTGTGTTAAAGAAGGCTGTGAAAGCCATATTGTTCCAAATGAGCAGCTTCCAGATAGCATCCCCTGTGCTAAGAATGAAACTGGCACTAAGTTGGCAGCGCAGCGTAGTAGTTCAATGCTTGATGACCTGATTTCAAATTCTTGCTCAGCAGAGTTAAAAAAAATTACTCAATCTCTTAACCTTAGTTCCTTCATCCTTCCTAGCTTACAGGATTGTCAGTGGCTTTAAATGGAATGAGGTGAGTTAAGCACCTAGCACATTGTCTGGCACAAAGGAAGATCTCTATTTATATTAGCTTTATTGTTGTTTTTGGAGAGCAATCAAATCAAAACGACAGATATTTCATACAAATGTCCTTCACTGCAGTTCAATAACTAGCAGAAAACAAAACAAAGAAAATTCAAAAACCTAAAGTACTCTCTCAATGGCTGTGCAATGAGGGGCATCTATGAATTTAAGTTGATATAGTCTTAAGATGTGTTTTTATATCATGAAACCTCTTGATAATGCCAACACTGTTAGGAGAGGGATAACACCCATACTAGAGGCTTAGATTGATATTTGTAGATAACTTATGACTATGACTTGACCTGTGGTATATTTTTATCTGTTCAAAAATAAATGATTTTATAACAAGGTTTCATTGTGTGTTTTGGCCAACAAAACTGATATAAAGGGTGTGGTTTTAAAATAAAACTCTGAAAAACATGTTTCCAAATTCATTACACATTGGCACTTTAGAAGGGCTCTTGAGGATTATCTAGTCTTACTCTTCTTTTATAAATGAAATTACTGAGGCCTCTCCAAGCCTCAACGTTAAGTGAGTTGACAAAGTTGAAGACAGTAGAATCCGGGTCTCCTGACTCCTAATCTAGTGGTATTGCCAAACTCCATACAGATTCTTCACATAAACAACATCAAACCACGTATCTAACATACTCTCACCTTTGTGCAGGACAAACATATGGTTCTCTAGAGCTCCACAGAACTCAGAAGCACTGCTCGTAGGTGGCACAGAGTGACTCATAGTGCCTTACAATGCTCACACACATTGAATTTCTCATGCTTAACAAAAGTTTACTCTGGACATTCTCCATATATCTTCTCTGAAAACTTAGTTCTGTATCTAGATTTTTTACTCACATGAATGCTGTGCATATAGACACTTTGAGATTTATTTACTGATCTCCCAAGAGAGAGCTACTCTATTTAACATTTCATCGAGCCATCCAAAAATCCACCCATCTCCATGTCTGCTGAACCTACCCCATTTCTACAGTCTTGGAACACTTGGAGATTACACATCTATATGAGCTATATGGAAATAAACCTTAATGTCCTTTTTCATTTTAAAATATACATTTCATGCCCTTCTTCTTCCTTGCTGCTACCTAATGAGTGAAAAAAACTTTTTCCCTTTTTTCTATTCTGGCACACATGAAGTCATATTTCCTCTAAAATGAGTGTCACAAGTTATGCATATACCATCAATTACCTACCTTTGAATCTCTACTCACTATTTTTTTATTTGAACATATATTATTTGTATCATAGGATTTAAGATTAATTTTGTCTACTTATATTTGTTGTAAGGATTAAATTAGTATCTATAAAGGGCTTAGAATAGATCTTGGCACATAGGACTATGTTAAATCAATAATTATTTGAGACTTGTATGTCATTCTTTGAAATAATATCATTACTTGCAGGAATTATATATTCTACCTAATAGCTACTAATTTACCTACGTATTGATGTACCGAAATAGATAGATCAGCCCTTGCCTAAGTACAGATGTATCTTAATCCCTGTATAGATGTGTTACCAGTAAACATGTAAAGTTAGGGAAATCTGAGCTGAACAAATATTGTTGGCCAGCATTTCTCAAAGTATGTTTCATTGGCTATTAACAGGTATATTTAAAAGGGATTTTATTTATTTTAATATAGGGATAATGATCAAATTATGAGTGAAGAATCCATGGTTATATGTTATGATTTTTTATGGTACATTACTCATCCCCAAGAGGGATGTTTCAAACATATCTGACCATGAAAACCTTTCACCAAGTATCATCCAAAAGGCAAACTCTTGATTAGAGCAGCTTGTGGGAAACATTGTTCTAGAGCTTCAGTCAGTAGCCCTTTTACCCCAACAGTCAGTTAAGATGTAGACTGAATTACGTGAAATTGCAAACACTGGACCATTTCTGACCAACCAAAAAGGAGTGATTTCATAGGGTTCAAACTAAAAACGATTTAGAACAATTATCCACAACCAGGAGGAAGGTGTGGCACGTGGGTTTGAAAAAGCCTATTCACATTACTTTTTGAGTTTACTTAGAATTTATTTTAAAATCTTACACTACACCAAAGAATGGTGTGATTATCTGGTGAAAATGTTTTGAACATCCTCAAATGATGTCTTACCTAACTTGCTCTAGAAACAGTATAAAGCTGCTTAAAATGATTCAGAATATACAACAAAAAAGCAAAAATAAGAAAACAAGTTTTTAAAACTAGTGATCTTGCTTTTTTTTTTTTTTTTGCCCATAAGCAGGGCAGGTTCAACATATTGACTGTCGTTAGCCTGATGTAATTTTAAGGACTTTTATGACAATCTTTTTTTTTCTAGACATCAATTTTCACTCCAGCTTTTGGATCAGAAACTAAGGTCAGAATAAACAGTAATATGCGAACTGAAGAAGTAATAAAGCAACTTCTCAAAAAATTTAAGGTAATCTTTATCACTGTACTGAGCTATAAATATCTTGTGTATAATTTAACTGTAGACACATAAAAGTGCTCTTCTTAAAAAAAAAAAAACCTATGAACACGTTAAGCATGTTCATGTTAACCCATGAACATGTTAATCTAAATTTAATGTTCAGTTCTGAAGAATTCTTCTCTATGTATGACAGCTTTTAGTAATTATGCCTGAAAAATTAACATTATTCATGGGGAGCAAAGAACATTTTATGTCTGAAAGTGAAAAATGGAAGAGAAGAAACAGATACAATTTGGGTCTGATTGGCTTAGAAAACATATGACAACAAAGAATTCATACCTGCTTATGTTCTTCCATTGACAGATTGAAAACAGTGCCCAGGATTTTGCACTTTACATAATTTTTGCAACAGGAGGTAAGAAAGCTTGATCACTCTTTTTACATGACAACAGTGTGCTATAGTTTTCTGCCAATAAGAAAGGCAGAAGAGCAATCAGTCTCATTCTGTAGAAGAAAGAAAAGGAGGGAAAGAAGAGGGAAGAGAGGAAGGATGTTTTAAAAGAACCTAGGAATAAGGTACCCTAGAAGAGTTTATAATACAAAAGTGTTTGCTTGTTGGCCAGACATTACATTTTCTGGAGATCAGAGCTCTCGAGAGTCCATCAGGGGTTCCCAGGAATTGTTAGGGATTTAAGTCACTGTTGACCTCTGTACTTCTTTATTTTTGGCTTTCCTTCTCCTTCTAGCCCTCACTGGAGTCATCTTTGCGTCCTTTTTCTCTGTGATCTTGTTATTACCGCTCTCTCAGCACAGTATCCGGCACACTGCAGAAGTGTTCTCTCTTCCTCCGTAGGGAAACATATTCAGAACTTGGTGGTAGAGGGTAAGAGGTGAGAAGCAGGACATTGGGAAGGTGCTGTATGTGGGGTGCTAGGAGCCAGGACTGAAAGAGATTAGAGAAAACCTAACATGATACTGAACTGAAATTTTCGAAAACATCAAAATTGAAAAATTAAAACATTAAATTGTAGAACTATCCTAGGTTATAATGTAAGTGTCAGAATGTTTAAGCCAGAAATTTAATAGAAGAAAATAATACATTTTGATGCCAGAATAAACTGTAAGAAAATGAAAGCTGGATCTCCAAACATATACGAAATTAAAGCCCTTATAATTCAAAAGCTTAAATACAAGAAATATATATAAATTTTTGAAAATTCTAAGTATATATATTCATATTCTAATTGTTTAGAAAAAAGTTAAAAGGTATAAAATAAAAGGTAGAAACATGGCTAGTATAAAAACGCAAAAGATATAAACAATAGATTATAAAGAATATCAGATAAAAGATTAGTACCTACAATAGCAAAGAGTTCTTGCAAAATGATTAAGAAAAAGACAATCCAATGAAAATAGAAGTATGATAAAGCAATTCAAAGGAAAAAAATTAAAATAACTAGTAAATATTTTTAGGGAAAGCCTTAAACTCAAAGAAATGCAAGTATTCAAGGAAATACAGTAGTCGAGGAAATGCAAGTTCAGTCCACAATGCAGTATTATCTCACACTTGGCAGATTGGTGAAACATTTGAAAATGATTCTACCTATGCCTGACGTAGATAAGGGTAAAAGGGTATATTTACGCAATTCTGGTGAAAATATGACTGTCTCTGCTTTTACGGAACTCATTCTACCAATATTTATTAAAATTTACAGTATATATATCCTTTAGCCCAGCAACAGATTGGAATCTATTTCACAAAAATAAAAGAACTAGTAAATACAGATTTATGTGTAGGGTTGTTTATAACGACAAAAAGCTAAAGACATAGGGGAATGATTGAATAAGTGATTATTATGCAGACATTAAATGGAATGAGTTAGATTTATACCCATTGAATGGAGGGAATTCCATAATATATATTAAGTGAAAAATGCAAGATGCCTACAAATGTATACAATATCCCATTTTTGTAAAAGTATTATACATCCCTATTTAAATATGTGGTATATATGATCATATGATCAGAGAGAAAGGTATGGAATGATAAATACCAAGGCATTAACATCAATTACCTGGTTAGGGTATTGGGGAGATGCAGAAAAGAGGATGGGAAGGGGGAAGAAGACAGAAGCAAATAAAAACCCCTACTCAGTCATAATTTTTTTTAAAAAAATGTCTACAATAAAAGTACAGAGTATGATATGACTCCTTTTATCTAAGGGTGTGTTTGTGTGTATGCTTAAAGAGATACACGAAGGGGTGGCCACTCAAAGGGTAGTGCTGATTCTGGGATCCCAGGTGATTTTTACTCTCTGTTTTATACTTTTCTCCATAGTTTCAATACAGTAGCATGCGGGTTAAAAAAAAACTTTATTGAGGAATAATTGGGAATAATTGACAAACAATTGTATATATTTATATTGATTTGATATACATATACATTGTGGCATGATTGCCAAGATCAAGATAATTAACACATCATCATCTCACATAGTTAACTCTTTTTTTTTTTACTTGTGGTAAGAATGCTCAAAATCTACTGTCAGCAACTTTCAAGTGTACAATACTGTATTATCAACTATAGTCACCGTGCTGTACATTAGATCCTCAAAACTTATTCCTCTAATAACTGAAAATTTGTGTCCTTTGACCTACATCCCCATTTCCCCTCCCTGGAAGCATGTATTATTTTTATCATCAGAAAAAAATGTCTATTTTCACCATAAAAATGTAGTTCTTTAAAATTTTATCTGTGAAAATCACATTTTCTTGTATATTTTTGTGTCAAAATTTCTCACACATAAAATCAAGAACTGAAAATAATCATAACTAGGACCTTTTAGGGACCAGAAACTGAGAAAAGAATGGAGGATGTAGCACCTGTTGGGTAGTAATCTGGAAAATAAAGATAGGTGCATTTTAACACTTTATAGCTACTAAGCCCATGATCTATAACAGTATTTCTCAAATTGTAGTGCACTTCAGAATTACCTAGAGCATTTATTTAAAACACAGATTCCCAAGTCTGGGGACAGTCTGGGAATATGTATTTCTAATAATTATCTCAGGTGACCATGAGGCAAAATCATGGAGCAAGAAACCTTGCTCTATAATATCAAGAACAGAACAAACTGAAAATGCAAAACCAAGTTAACATAAGAGGTAGAGGTCAAAAGAAGATTCTGGTAAGTTAATGAGAGGAGCTAGATTATTGGGGTTCCCAGTTGCTTCAGGAAATTGTAGAGGAATTAAAGCAATTAACTCTGACTCTGTGGAAACAGGAATGGATAATGTCGCTTTAATTGTGGGGAGGACAGGCTTCTGTGTTCTAGACCGTCTCTCGACTTTTTTTTATTGTATAAGTCCAGCCCAAAGATGAGGACAGTTCTGACTCTTGGAACTTTTAAGAGCCCAGGGGAATTGATTTCAGAAATAGATGATGATGGAGAAAGGGCTGATTGGTCTACCCTTTCCCCTTCAGTCAACTTCAACGTAGTGGACAGATTGTTCTTTAACAGTGTAAGTCAGACCATGTCACATCTCTTCTCAAATCCACCAGATATCTCTCCTCTCACAGTAAAGCCAGAGTCTTTTTTGCTGGCCCAAAAGAAAAGACGATTACTTCTCTTCATCTTTTACTAACCCTCCCCTCCTCTTCTCCATGCTGGCCACGCTGGTCCCTTGCTGTTCTTTAATGGCATTAGGCATGCACTGGCCTCAGGGGTGCTTTATTTGTTTACTTACTCTGTCTGGAATACACTTCCCCCAAATAGCTTCATGGTTCCATCTTTACTCAAATATTACTTCTTCATGAGGCCTTTCTCAGCCACCATATCAATAGTTGCAAACTTCTCTACACATATATTTACGCATACACACACTTTCTACCCCACTTCCTTGCTTTATTATTCTCCTGAATACTTATCACTAACATACAGCAAGTTTGATTGATTTATCTTCCTTGTCATTTGTCTCCTCCACTAGAATGTAAGGTCCATGAGGGAAGTGATTTACTCTGCTTTGTTCTATAGTGTCCCCAGCATGATGTAACGCCCAATACATAGTAGGAACTCAAAAAATATTTAAGGATGGAAGGAGGGAGGAAAGAAGATGAATATAAGGGCACTATGTTCTGTTCATGCTTCGTTCTGATAAAAATGAAATCACAGATGTGAAACTACTGTGACAGAAAGCTAGAAGTGTTTTCGTGGTGGGTGTATTTATATTATAACTTTTGGAATTTTGAAGTTCTGGGAAAATACCAACTTTGAAGTTATTTTATTTCTTATCTCATTATCACGGCTAAATGGATAAAGCCCACGGATGAATGAAATAATGAAAATGCTGACGCCAATGTTAAAAACCTCTGAATTTATTTTTAAGGAAGAGCCAAGAATTGGATGTGGGGTGAAAGAGAAAGAAAGAATTGAGGATAATTACAAAAGTTTTGGACCTGAACAATTGGAAAGATGGAATTACATTAACTCAACTAGGAAAGATATTTGTGGATCAATAAATATTTGTTGAACGAATGAATGAAAAATTATAAAGAATTTTTGAGGTGTGTTGCTTGATAAAAGGTATAAATGAAACTGGACATTTGTCTGGACATTCTAACCAAAGGCAAGTTGAATTCTCTGAGAAATAAAGTCAGTCAAACCTTGAGGGATAGCAAGAGAAAGAAGTCCATTTTTAGTTCTTAAATGAACTTTTAAATATATTTTAATTTCAATTTCCTTTTTTGAGGGAGTGCCTCCTATTATATGTTCTTTTTAGATCATCCTTCAAAGTCAACTGAAGAAAGCAAATGAATAAAGAAATTATCTTTCTTCTTTTTCTTCAGTATGGGCATCTTTCTTCTTTTTCTCTAGTATGGACTCCTGACTGTAGTTGATTCTTGTGTTCATTTGCAGAGCAGAAACGGCTAAAGAAGACAGACATTCCGCTACTGCATAGGCTCCTACAGGGACCTTCCTCAAAGAATGCTCGCATTTTCCTCATGGATAAAGATGCAGAAGAAATTAGCAGAGATGTATGGATACCGTCACCCTGAATCTGTCTTTACTTCCTCCTGACTCAGCACCTCTCACATAAATGTTACACTTTCTTTCTTGTTTTTTTTTTTTTTTCCTTTTCAGGTGGCTCAGTACATTAACTTCCATTTTTCTCTCCTGGAATCCATCCTTCAAAGATTAAATGAAGAAGAGAAAAGAGAGATTCAAAGAACGGTAACGAAGTAAGTCAAGAGCATGCACGCCGGGTGCTTGATCCTTTAATACATTCAGTGAACAAAATGTGTCCAACTTTTAATACTCTTTTTCTCCTTCTCATTTTCAGATTCAAAACAGAAAAGGCTATTATACTGAAATGTCTTCAAAGTAAACGGGTAGTGAAAACAGAGACGACAGTTTAGCGATGCAGGCTGCTATTGCTAAAACACTTTAACAAAATTAGAGAGATGTTACTATTTGATGAGTGCATAAATTCTATACTTGCACTCATACAAATATATATGAACTTGAATCCATAGAAATTGAATGTCAAAGAAGCTTGTCTCTCTTTGAAGTGATGAGGTTAACTAGAGTTCACAGTTGGACTGAAATGAGCTTGAATTTATTTCAGTAACTGAAATAAGCATGGATACTGTGTATTCCAAATAGTTTTTATAGTAAAACTCAATGAACTTGAATTTAAATGGCACCTTCAGATATCATGCAATTTAAACTTCTTTAGCTTGAACTCTCAAAAGAACTGAAATTCAGTTTCAGTTCAGAAATAAAAACTGTCAGCCCTTGAAACAAAATGAAGCACATTCTTCCTCCACCAAGGCATCTTGTGGTGACAGTGTTTCACAGTGCCTTGAAGACTCTAGCATTTTCATAAAATCCAGGGCTGTCTTTAAATGGGTGGATGACTTTTGGCTATCTGTAACATCAGAGCTATCTGCCCTTTAGGAAGGAAAAGATTGTGGACTCTTCTAAGAAATCCAAATTGTAATTGTCTCAGCCTGACCCTTCTTTTTTCATCTGTTCGACTGATGACTTTCAAAAGTGTTAAGGTTTTTTTTTTAAAGGCAGTCGAACTAATTTTCTTTATTGTTCTAAATAAATATAGCACAGAGACTTAATATATTTCATCAACTAGGCCAAGACTTGGCACACAGTAACCATTGTTGCTGAATCAATGCAATGGATAAGGCAAAGCAGGTGTCACTAATGCCAGGCAGGGAATCGGAGCTCTGCCCTTTTTCTCTAGGACAACTTCTTCTACACGATGATGCCCGAGTACTTACAAGTCTGCTAAACTGATTTGGAAAAAATACACTGAAAATGCCACAAGTATCATTTGTGATTTTATTTATGAACTCTATATTAGAATAGAGTTTTATGCAATATTCTTCCACTTGCTAAACTACTTCCATTTGCATTCCTCATAAGCACTGTACTGTTTGATTACATTACATGTTACATGTGTTAAGGGATAAGGTTGTACGTAATAAACCCAGTTGGAAGATTAATTATCAAAATAATGAAACATTTTTAAGATAAAGGTATTACTTCTCAGGTCACCAGAACCTAACCTGGATGAAAGTAAAAGTGTGCCATGACCTTTTCAGTACTAGGAAATTTCTTTTATTGAGAAAAAAAGAAGCTTGCTTCTTTATCTTTTCACCTATCAATTAATAAGAAAAAAATCTCGTCTCACTAAAATAAGGCAAATGTAATAGTTAAAATTCAATATACTTATAAAAAACAAAGTAATATCAAGTACCCACCATAAACATGACAAAAGATTCATCTTTAATATATTGAAAGTCTACAAAATGCATGAGAAAAATACCAAGTCTTGGATAGGAAAAAAAAAAGGCAGATGGCACAAGAAGTAAAATCATGGAAGAGGAAATGCAAATGGTTGCTAAGTATGTGGGAAAGTTGTCTTTTAAGACTGATCAACTGTATTAGTCTATGGCCAATCAGGAGACAGAAACCACACAGTAATTTAAACAGGGAAAGTTCAATATAGGGATTCATTAAGCTGTGATGATAAGAGAGTAACTATAAAGATGGACAGAGAACTCAAAAGGGTACCCTAACGCTGAGGAAGAATACCCTAAAAAGGAAAAGCTTGGAAGGAGGAGCTCAGAGTTCACTGGAGAAGGTATGGTTGCTGTGGAGAGAGGCGAAGTTCACTGGTTGCCCAGGCCAGAGCAGGGGCACAGCCGTAGGGCAAGCAGGAACAACCCCTGGGGTGTGGACCAGCTGAGGCAGGTGGGCAGGTGTGCAAAGGGACTTGGGGCTTCTCTGCAGGCACAAGGCCCAGATCACATAGTGTCTATGTCTGGAGGTCCACAGGAAACAAAGTTTGGGGGCCCAGGTAAGCTGAGGCTGAAGGGTGGGCAGGAAGACAGGGCCGGGGGTGTAGCTGCAGGTGCTGCTAGGACTGGGACTGAAGGGGCCTGCTTTGCAGGAACCTGGTACAACTCTATGTATGACTTGGGCTGTGGCATCTTCTAGGCTGCATGAGACAAAGGTTGGGCAAGTGGCTCACTAGGTGGCCAGCTCCACAGGGCCCTCTCTGGGAGCATGCACCAAGTTGAGAAGATGTGCAGAGCAATAATTTGAGCTAGGACACAGGCCTGCACTGGAGTTCCAGGCTCTGCCACCACGAAACCAATCAAAAGCTGGAAAAGAAGTTGGGGGAACAAATGCTAGAGAAAGCCGCACCCTATAGCAACTAGCACTGAAGAAACCACTCTGGGCATAGCAGTGGAGGAAAAAGTCAGCTTCCCAGGAGCTTGGCCAGCCAGCCCCTAGGAAGCAGGAAAGAGCAACTTCCTCCTACCATGTTTCTTCAGCGCCCTCTACTGACAAAGCATGACATCATGTAGGCTGCAAAGGAAACTTGTTTAAAGGCTCTGTATCCATTTTCACAGAGCCAGAGCAAAGAGTGAATTTGCAGCAGAGAGGCAATAAAATAATATCTAGCATGTCAACAAAACACACTTTGCTATTAAATTAGCAAAGTTTAAGTGATAATACTGGATACTAAACAAATTACAGTGTGATGGGCACTCAAACTACTGGTAGAAATAGAAATGGATATAACTTTTCTCAAAAGCAATTTAGTAGAAAGTTCATCCTATAATTCTACTTGTAGGATCCTATCTGGGAATAATCAGAAATACAAAGACACCATGCAAAGATTATTATTATTTATTGTGATAAAAGGAAGTAAATAGCCTAACTGTTTAAGAATAGAAAAAGAGATTAAAGAAGGAAAGAAACATTCACCCACAAAATGTTAGGAAGCTCTTAGAGTTGTTTCCCAATAAATTTTAATTATGGGAGTAAATTCTCCTTATTTATCTAAATAAGAATATACATACAAATATTCAAAAATATTTATTATCCGTAGGATATATGTGTTGATATATATATATTATTTGTACATATACACTACAAACCAAAAATAACATGTTAAATGTGATTAGGTATGGATTACAGAATTATGGGTGATTATTTTTCTATACTTATTAAATATTATGGGTGATTATTTTTCTATACTTATGAAATATTTTATAATGAACATGTGTTACTTTTTAAACCAGGAAATAGAAAAGTTATGATTCAAAAGTTACCAACAAAAAAAGTAGCAAGTACATGCAAGCACAGAGTTCTACCAGATCAAAAAAGTTCAAATAAACTATTTAAATGAGATATTAACATCACTACAGTGGTAGTTTTAAAATCTATCCGTAAAGTCTTTGATACTCCTCCTTTCAGGAGGTGGAGCCTAGTCCTCCTCACCTTGGACAAGAGCTGGACTTAATGACTTAACTTCTAAGGAAGAGAGAAAGACAGAAGTGACAGGGTGTGACTTTGGAGACCAGGTCATAAAGGTCACTGTGGCATCTTCCTTGCTTGCTCTCTTGGATTGCTTGCTCTGGGAGAAGCCAACTGCCATGTCCGGAGCAGCCCTGCAGAAAGGCCTACATGACAGGAATGGAAACCTTCTGCTAAAAGCCAGCAAGGAGTTGAGGCCTCCTGTCCACTGCTATGCGAGTGGGCCACCTGCTAGCCTCAGGCAAGCCTTCAGATGACAGCAGCCCTATCTATTATCTTGACTACAACCTCATAGAGACCCTGAGCCACAAAACCCAACTCAACCTCTCCTGGATTCCTGATCCTCAGAAACTCTGTGAGATAAAAAATGTTTGTTGTACTATGCTGCTAAATTTTAGGATAATTTGTCACATAGCAATACATGACTAATGTAATTTCTGAGACAAAAGTCTTTTCACTTCAGAGTCATCATTGCATAAACAAGAATATCAACTTTTATGACAAAACCATTCATCCTTGTTTTAGGTGGTCCAAATATTTCACTACTAGTTATATATGAGTTCAAATTCAATTCTGGATAATACGGTTTACTTACTAATGGTAGAGGACCTGTCACATTCATCTTTGTAATATTTTGCTGTACTTAATATTGCATCTTGTGTATAGGATGTTCTCAATAAAAATTGATTGAATAAAGGACTGAATAAATTAGTGAATGAATGAATAAAAGAATGAGTGAATGAATTCTGAAATATTTTTATAAAATCCCCTGCATATATGCCTGCTTTTTCACAGATCTGATCCAGTAGCTAAGAAGTATAGAATCTTTTCTGTATCATTTTCCCTAATATAGTGGTATATTTTATTATCTCTTGGCCATATAAAATACTCAGTTAGGCAGTGATACTATGGAATTTTGTTTAGGGCTCTTCAGATTGGCTTCAGGAACTGAAGGGGAAAGAAGTCCATTTGCAAGGTAGTTGATGAGGTGGAAAGACGGCAGGTGTATCTATTATGTTGAGATATCTACATGTGAAAGGGAAGAAAGGAATAGGATGCAATTAGGGCAAAACCCTTCAATGGCATCCATTTGTCTTCTCAATAACAGCTAAGCTTTTAGATTGGGCCATTTGAAATTGTCCATATTTGACCTACAAAAGCAGCAGTTTCATATTGTTCAAACTAACAGCACTTACCATTTGCCAAGCACTATTTTAAGTACTGTATGTATATTAGCTCATTTAATGTTTATTACAGTCCCATGAGGAAGTTACTCTTTCAACCTGATTTGATAGATGAGGAAAGTAAGCCATGGAGAGGTTAGATTTGCCGAGGTCTGTAGAAGAAGAGCTAGGTGGGATTTGAACCTACAGCTCCAGAATCCACACTCTTAACCACCGTAATATATGTTCTCACCCTAAACTACACTCCTTCAATCTGGCATTCTTTGTGTGTCCTCATTTGTAAAATAGAAATATTAGTACCCACTTCATTAGACAGTTGTAGGAGTTATAGGACCTAAGAGGTGTGTGATAAATATTAGCTATTGTTACAATTAAACTGCAAGATGTCCCCACCCAGCACTGTAGCTTCATCTTCCGCTGAGTCTTACTGCCCACAACTACTTCATTCTTTTTTTTTTTAAAGATTGGCACCCGAGCTAATGTCTGTTGCCAGTCTATTTTTTTTGTTTCTTCTTCTTCTCCCCAAAGACCCCCAGCACACAGTTGTATATTCCAGTTGTAGGGCCTTCAAGTTCTGCTATGTGGGACGTCGCCTCAGCATGGCTTAATGAGCGGTGCCACGTCCATGCCCAGGATCCGAACCGGCGAACCCCTGGGCGGCTGCAGCAGAACGAGTGAACTTAACCACTCAGCCACCGGGCCGGCCCCGAGGACTACTTCAATCTTGTCTTAAAACCCACCAAAATGAATCACTCCCTATCCCCTCTCACACTCTACCACACCTCCCTCTGTTGAAACTTTGCCCATTTTCTAGTCATTGGCCAGGGTCACTTCCTCCATGACGTTTCCTGGTCTCTCGGACAATGTGTGATCTCAAACTCCTGCACACCACATTATCAGTTAGTTCTGCTTTTGTGACACTGGAAGTTTGAAATTTGCCCATTATTATAATTCCTTTTGTGCTTATGTCTTGTACAAATTCACTAGTGATCTGGTCTTACCATATTCATAGTATTCTCTGCAGCACCCAGCACAGCTTATTGAACACAACAGATAATAAATGTTTATTGGATTTAATTTCCTAATATATGAACATGTTGAAATTACTAGAGTGAAGAAAAACTATTTAAGATCAAATGAAGAGCACTATAAGGAGGATTAAATTTTTTCTCTAATCAAAATAATTCATTTATTTAGTAAGCATTAAAATATTACTGCTTATTTTTACTTTATTATACACAAAAAATCTAGAAAGATAAAAATAAGCCCAAATGATAAGTGCTTTCTGTCATTTATGCCAGGATTTCCAGGGAAAAGACTGCTATTACAAATCATCATTGAAAGCCCAAATTAATTTAAATATGTTAGGACTCCGTGGTTCCAAAGTCAGCATCACATATATAGGGTAAAGATGAAAAGCAAAACAGTTATGAAGGTAACTTTAGTATAAAGCATATTTCATTCAGTTCATCAATAATCATTTTCAATAGCAGGAGATAGACAGATAGAACCCCCAAGTGGCATTTGGGGTCTTTGTCATTCCAGAACCCAGTGGCCAGTTCCCAGTTCGATGCAGCAGCCCCTTACATCTACCTGAGGCTTTTGAAAGACCCCTGGATCTCATATTTCTGTTGCTGCTTCTAAGAAGCAGAAAGCTCGTGGGGGGAAGAGGAAGAATGACAGCGGGTTGAAAGAGGGTTACAATAAGAACCTTTCTCTGCTGAGTAGGAATGGGGGGATTTAGTGTCGACTGGCAAGTGTTCTGGAGTAACACTGTGAGTAGCTGAAAAACTTTGTTGATTCTTCCTTTATTTTAAACATTAGACGTGTTTCGTTACTCATGAAAAATAAAATGCAGGTCTCAGCAAAGATCCTACATTGACATTTTCAAGGCTCATTTAGCCTTGCAAGAGAGACTGGCACTTTTCCATCAGTTTGGACCCCTAGGAAAAAAGCAAATAAGCATATCTGTGAGAAAGGGAAGACATCTAAATAGCTATGATCCCCAAATAGAAAATCTTTAAGACTTCCTGTTGTACGCCTGAGATGGGCTGTAACGTGCCTGCTCCTGGAGGTCTCAGAATTTCTCACAGGCCTGGTCCCTCAGTTTAAGGACTTAATTGACTGCTATGCCTGTCTCACTTTCAGGACCCCAGATTTGGGATAAACAAAAATTGGCTTCCTCCTCACAAAAATATGGGACTCTTGCTGCAGGGTCAAAACAATCAGTATCAGCTTCTCATTGCATTTCAAAATCGCTCTAGGCTAATTCCATGCGAAATCATTACACAATCAAGGACAGAAATTCCAGAGGGAGAAAACCAATAAAATTGATCAGAGTATCTCTACCGGCTCCATATATAGTGGTGTAGACTTCTACATTAAGTCCAGGAGTTTTCCCTAATTTTTACCTGTATAGTCCTTAGTCAAATAAAAATCATTTGTGGAAGCCAGCTAGATAGATAAAAGTGAAATCTTCTTTAGTTAAGTGGGAATAGGACTCATAGAATGCCGCTGCTAAGATGCACACACACATCCTGGAAGAGAGAGAACTCACCCTCATAAGAGCCCCTGAGAGCCTGTGGAAAATGGTTAGAAGCCCTGTTAATTCAGTCCTTCATCCTACCCTCAAACAGGACTACAGCTAAATCATCTAGAGACACTGGAATCTATTTAGTCTCGTTTTTAAAAATTCTTCTGGAGTTTAAGATATCCTTGCTTCTTTAGTAACCTATGACTTTTTTAAATCAATCTTCAGGGGAAATTTCCCCATAAGCTTAACCTCAAGACTCACATATTTAATCTTGTTCATAACAATAGTGGAGGAAGACGTATTTCTCCATATCAACTGATATTCCTGACTTCATTTATTCCATAGTTCCTTGGGAAATGTCTAATTTGTTATGATAAACGCTGGGGGGGGGGGGGAAACAAAGTTTCTGTTAAGATAAGGTAGAAGAAAGGCATCTGAGAAGACTCCTACAGTAATGAGGAATGCCTCACATGAAATAGGAAGTGACGATAACTCCACATCTTGAGGTAAGGCCTGAGCAAGATTTTGAAATATGAAACATAGACTCAAATGATGGAAGGTAGAGAGCAGAGAAAAGAAAGAGGAAACATCTTCCTTATACCGAGACCACATTAGCCATTCTTTGATTTCCTATAATGCTGGACGTGTTGGGAGACTGCTAACATGTCACCCATCCTAAGACTTTGGGATAAACATTACCAGTCTATTTCTCCCTATCCCTTGTGACATGTGTCAGTGCAAATAATCAATAACCAATCTATAAATAAGAGTCATATTTAATGAGCTAATACTGAGGACTAGTCTGGAAGTGTTATCCTCCCCGGGGAAGAAAACACTTCAGAGAAGCTTGGTTTACAGCTTGGTTATATACCCTTTCGGAACAAAGAATATGCATCAAGCATGACAGGAATACATTTTTTTTCCCCAAATCATAAGGAGATGTTTTGCTGCAGTTCAACACATATACAGCAGGTCAACTTGACCGTGGTTCTCCGGGAAGAAAAGCTTATCTTCAAAGAAGTCCTGGTATTGGCGTCAGAGAAAGGGAGACATTCATCCCTGTCTTTAAAGAGCGCATTCTTTGCTTTGGGAAAACGTATGAAGCAGATGTACAATGCATCTTTGGTGGGCCATAAGTCAGGCTGCTCTGGGAAAAACAAGTTTTAGGCTGAATCAGATTTAAACCAAAACGGCTTCCCCATATACCTCAATATGTGAAAAGTTATTATTATTTTCATCACAGATGAAAAGGATTTCATTTTCACAGTGGCCAGAGGATCATTAGAACAGGGGTTGAAGAATGCAGAGAGGAAAGAAAAGTGAGTAGAACAATGCACTATCTGTGTACTCATCAAGCTACCAGGAGACTGTTTGCTGTAATTAATCTAATTGTATATAGCTAACAAGTAAATGATTTTTCATTAGATAGTAAAGTTGTGTGACCTAAATTGCTAAGAATATCATGGTAGGATGTGAGACAGAAAATTCATGGAGACCTGGGACAGACTGCTCTCCCAGGGGCACGACTTGAGGGGCAGAAACTCGGATACAGGAGGTAACAGTGTCTGAGCAGAGGAATGCAAGCATGTAGTTAAAAGAAACAAAGGAGCCTTTACAGTCAAAACAGGCTTGGGCTGGTTAGGACCGGGGTTAATTTTAGCAACGGCCCTGGGAAATATTTTCACAGGTAACAATTTTCATGATGGCTTAATTACCTTCAGGGGCTCCTTTCTACCTCTTCAGCTAAAGTGTACATGTGCTTATGTTAAAAGTCATATATCTATAGTCTAGTCAAGGGTAAGTAAACTACAGGTGTCAGGCTAAATTGGCTCCACTTCCTGTTTATGTAAATAAGATTGTATTGGCATATGGCCACGCCCATTTGTTTACATATTGTCCATGGCTGCTTTCTGGCTACAATGAAGAACTGAGTAGTTGTGACAGACTGTATGAACTGCAAAGCCCCAAATATTTACCAT